ATATATATATATATATATATATATATATATATATATATATATATATATATATATATATATATATGGGGTAGATCTTTAGTGGTCTCCAGTCTGGCCCTGCGGCGGCGCCAATCCCATGTGCTGTGTTGCTGAGCCTGTACACGTAAGCACTGTCTGTTGTGCTGCATGGCCACGACTTAGACCTGGGCTATTTCCCCGCCTCAGCACCTCGCTCTGTTTCCTTCACTCTAGGTTTATTTCTGTGCTGGATGCGCTAGTCGTGTGGATCCGAAACATTCCAGTGCGCTTGGAAGTACTGCGATATCTGTCCGTCTGTCCATCCATCCATCATCCTGCTGCTTATCCTGAGCCGGATCAAGTGAGAGAAGCCCCTCAGGCAGCGTCGGCCACAAGGCGGGGGGGCATCCTAGCCGGGATGCTAATCCATTGCAGGTCACACAGTCCAAAACACTCAGATTCCCCCTATCCCCCCCCACCCCCGACCGCCACTACCTCTTCATTTCCTGTGTGCGTGGTTATTTGCCTTGTGGGATGTTCGCCGAACACACACGCACGTTGAAGGGGGTTCTGCTGTAATTTGCTGCGAAGCTGTTTAAACACAGAGATGAGTCTATGTTCCCCTCTGCTGATACGTAACCACTTTGAGGGCATTGATCTTCTCAGCTAATGTTGATCCCATTAATTCGTCGCCATTCAGTGGGCTAATCCCCACCGGGACTGTACACTAAAGCCCGTCCCGGACGCAGTGCCAGCTTCTGCCGGTTCCTCTCCCGTGACAGAACATTCCGGGCCCTCGTGGGACCGGGCCGCCTGAGACGGGGCTCCCGTTCTGCGGCTTTTAAAGTGAATCGGCCACCATTTAAACGTATGTGTGGCACTCCTGGAATAACTTCCAATCTTGAAAAGCCAGGTCACACGTGTGGCCATTTGTTTTGTTTTCTTTCTTCATTCGTTTCATTCTCGGCTTCTTTGCTAGCAGGGAGCACGGAGCGCCCGGTACACGCGTGTGTGTGTGTGTGTGTGTGTGTGTGTGTGTGTGTGTGTGCGTGTGACTGATAGGCCTCCCTGACGCGTCGCTCGCCTGCCATTAATTGCATGAAAGAGAGATGGAGGAGAATCAGGAAGCTGCCAGCCTGGGTGAGGAGAATCGATTTATAATGTATTAGTGGGAGCAGTAGGAGGGTGCAGGTTGTACCTGTGGGCAGAGAGAGGAATGCAGGTGGGTCCGGTGACTGCCCCCCCCTCTTCCCGTCTCCCCCCCAGCATTGTTCCCGCCCCCCTGCCGCGGCATGACTCGCGGTCCCGGGCTTATCGGCGCACTCACAGGAAGCCCCGCGATTGGCCACACGAGCCGCTCCAGCCGGATCCCGCCGTTCCACTTCCGCGCCCTCTGATCGGGCAGCCGTGCCGGCTAATGCGTTCACCTGGGGGGCCTCAGCAGCCAGGAGGAGTTCAAAATCCCCCCCCCCCCCCTTCAATTTTTTTTCCCCAAAGTCAAAAAGTGGTGCAGATCTCACCTGGAGTTCCAGCCCATGACAAATCGGTAAATACTAACGCAGGTGAGATCCTTACAAGTCTATATGTTTGGCACATAAAGCGTGATTGTGAGCGGGGGCGTTTGAAGCCATTGTCACGAGTCGCTCTGAAGCCACGGGGAGTCCGCGTGCCGTCAGAGCTTTTCAGGGACCTGACATCTTGCTTGCCGAAGTGTTTTGCCGGAAGGCCGTGAAGCGGCAGCTTGGCTCACTGGCCACAGCCGTGACGGGCCGGTAATTGCAGCAGTTAGTAGCCGATTGTTTTTGGGGTGGCGGGGGGGGGGTGTTGCATGTCTGAGAGAAAACGGCAGGTGACACACCTGCGGAGGATGTGTGCTCCGATTGCTGGCCATGAATTTCTGTTCGAAAGCAGCTCGAACAATAACCTCGAGAGGCAAAAGCACACAGTCCCCCCAACCCACCCCCGGTAGCTAAATACGAAGGGGGGCATTTCACAATGCAGCGTAGAAGTGAGGTATGAGGTCCTAAGACAAGGGCCATCAAGCCTGGCTCTGACGGGGGCCCTGGTTACTGGCACACTGCGATGGCGGCCTGCTTGTAAACACTGAGCCCCTGTTCCTGATTCGCGTTCCCTCCGCTTACTGCATGGTGAGGGATGTGAATTTAAGCGGAGAACCCGGGACTCGTCCGTCAGTAGATTCCAGAGTAAAGCCTTACAGCTGCTTCTCGGTTGCTGAGGTCATCGCTAGGGTGACCCCGAGGTCGTCACCATGACAGCACCCACATTGTTCCATCCGCATGTGCCCCCTTCCTCGTGCTTCTCTTCCTCATCCTCACCCTGGTTCTGCGGTGCTCGGCTCCACGGTGATGGTAACCAGTCGCAGTGTGTAATTCTGCGACCAAAAATCTAGGTGAATTATTTGCCCTGCCGTGGTTTTTTTCCTTTTTGCCCTTGCAGGCTGGGATTGATTTACCCCAAGATTTCAGGGCATTTCGTCATGTGGCGCAACTCTCATTGCAGCCCTGATGATGAATAGTTGACTCCCAAGAAGAGTTTAACTTTATTTTGCTTGTAAGATGACACATTTTCACCCAAACTTGTTTGCATTTATCAGTTTATTACTGTGGATATTTTACGGCAGCGCTTTGAGCTGGTATGAAGGTTGATAAAGGCCCCCGTTCTCGACTGCTTGCAGGCTTGACCTTCCTCGCTCCTCTGCTGACGGTCCATTGAACCTGCCTTTAGTCCTTCGTCTCTTTGAGGGACATTGTCAGGTTGACACGAACATCTCTTGTTTCAGGCAGACAAGCCATGGCCCCATTGTACTTCCGACATGATGAATGTTTACCGAGGAGTATCTGAAAATAAGACCCATGACCCCCCCAGAGAAAGTAGACACTTAAAGTGATTAAAGTGGTACTACTGCCCTGTGACTTTAACAGTTTTGTGTATTTGTTGATGGGAAGAAAGTTTATGTCTGTTGCAGTGCTGTAACCTGCTGATACCAGTGCTGTAACCTGCTGATACCAGTGCTG